AGGGACTTGCCTTGGAAAGAGTATTTTATGTACTGTGTATGAGCTAACCGTTGTTAATAGAAGCCATAGGAAGAATATTTGATAATCGTGGTCCTATAACAACAAAGCTAGAGACTTCTAAGACGTCAACATTATTTAAATCTCGTTTTTAATAGTGCGCTAGTCATTAGGAGTTTGGTGCAGGTGATACATAGCTTCCCTTTCCTATGCATGGATGGATATTACATGGGCACATGTGGGGTCGACTAACCCCATAAAATTGGTGAACTTCCTTTTTTTTTTTTTCTTTCCTTTTCCCATTTTGCATGAGTTTTTGTCTTTCACTTTCTGCCTCCCAATTACTTTCAAGCTCTAATATATACTTTTACCCATACCTAAGTTTGCCATTTTTTCAAATGATTCTCATTTTTTCCTTCTAGAAAGAATTGCCGACAAAAAATTAAGATATTGTGGATGTCATGAGTTTAGAGAAAATAAATAAAGAACAATTCCAAAATATGAGGGACAAATATTGATTGGATTCTTCTTTGAAAACATATCATCTTTTTTTATGTAAAAGGCACGATATTGATGTTTTCAACATGAATGAAATGTTTGTACCTTTAGATCATTCACGGCGAAACACTCGAGGAAGACAAATTTGCATCACTTCTTCGTGGAATTCGTTTATGTTGTCATCGACATAAAACTTCAAGAGTTGAATGACCAATTTTCGAAGACAGATAATGGCTTACTAAGTTGTGTTGCTCTGAATAGTCATTTTATTTCAATTAGAACAAATTATTTCGATTTTGTGTTATCCCAAGATTGTAGACCGGTGGAGATCTAGATACTTCGTGAAAATTATTAATATTTTCACTAACAAAATTCTTGAAGAATTGCAAGTCTTTGTTGATCTTGCACAAAAGTTGATTGTAATTAAAAAAAAAAAGGAAGTGCACTCATCATTTTACAAGCATGTAACATTAGTATTGATTCCTCGAGTTGAGAATATTATAGTGAAGAAAGTATTTTCTACTATGAAGGTTGTCAAGAATCAACTACGTATCTGGATTGGAGATTGATAATTGTATGATAACCTAACTATATACATTGATAACAATGTATTTGATACTATTAATAACGATGTAGCTATACCGCGCTTTCAAAATATGAAAACGAATATACAACATTTATAGTAACGTATTCAAATATTTTCACTAAAGTTATGTTTCTTTAAAAAAATTGCAACTTATTTTTTGACTCAACGATAAAGAATGTTAAACTCCGTCGCTATTCTTAATACATCTAATTGAAAGTTACGTTTTTTATTGCATGGTCCTAGGTGTCGTTATAACGTTTTGGCACGTCTGGATTTTTGTTGACTCGTATGTATAAAAAATTGTATTTGCACTAATTAATCCGCAATTAATGTTAATTGAAAAGGAATCACTTTCAACCAAGAAAATAAGAAAGGGGACAGCCTAACAAATCTCCGAAAGAAACTTCCATTCCAACAGCAAATCTCGCAATATCGTGCGCTTCTTCTTGCATTTACTTTTTGACTCCAAAATTAAAAAAAATGGATTCAAATATTTTACAAAAGAAAACAAAAGCAACAATTGGTACCTCCTTTTTCTTGTGCTTATTATTGACTTGCTTATTGGTAAATGCACCCACCCTCTTTTTAATAGGGCGGAATTCATTTTTTTTAAAAAAAAAAAATTAATATTGTAATTTTGTATGAAATACAAGGTTGTTAATTGGAATTATTTTGTTAGTGTTGAGGGCAATCCTCCCCTAAAAAGTCGATTTTGTTAGGTTGAGTTAGGCTCAATATCCTCTCCTATAGTTTTGTTAGGTTGAGTTAGGCACAATATCCTTTCTAATATGGTATCGGAGCGGGCCCTGCAATGTTGGGTGCACCTAATATCGATTTGTTCATAGTAGTTTGGCATCGTCCACGCTGTGCATGAGGTGGCGTATTAGAATCCCATATTGGCTGTTGATATTTACAAGATTCACTTAATAAGGTGAGGGCAATTCTCCCATAAAAAGCCGATTTTGTTAGGTTGAGTTAGGTCCAATATTATTTCCTATGTGTTTTCGTTTAAAAAAGAAATGATAAAAGAAAAAGATGTCACATTTAACTGACGGATTTATTCATGTTAGGAATAAGGATAATGCTATTTAGGGCATGTTCAGTACAGCTTAAAATTCAATTAAAATTGAAAATATGACCGTTATTAGGTCTCACTCGTCTAATAAAAGTCAACAATAACGGCTAGTTTTTGAATTTTAATCCAACTTTAATCTCTACCGAACACGCCCTTAATATCATTAGTGCTACAATATCAGTTTAGATAATACTAATTGTTATTAAATTATAGTTACGATTAAATGAATTATATAATTTCATATTTAATTGAACATATTACAGAATGCTAGATAAACCGTTGTTAGATAACTATCATTTGAAGTGTTAACATCTCAAATGTGATGATAATATTTCATTTAAGATGTCTACTAGTATAACTAACACCATTAGTTTAGATAAATAACAAATTTTCACATCATTTTAAATATAAATACAATCATTAAATATAAAAGTTTGGATTACTTTTGTTAACTACGTTGACTTTTTAAAAATGGAATTATGTCAAATATGTTAAGATATGTATTTTTGTTAGGGCCTTCGTCTTGCACGCACGTTCGGCAAAGTTTTAATTTTAATTTATATTAATGAAGCAAACTTATTATCCATACATCACACATTCCATAGAACCAACAAATTATAAACATTTACGAAAACAATAAATGAACTTTTATCAGCTTCCGATTCACCAAAAATAATAATTATTGAATTTTACTTAGTTTATGCCCTCTTTACTGGCAATTTCATTCGAATATAATTGTCCTCAATAATTTTTGGATTTTTAAGAATTTTATTAATTGGAATAATACAACATTAATATCATATCAGTAATAATAACAACAACAAAAAAGACAATGCTAATCATCATATAACTTTTAATCATCATCGTACACGATTTTCAAGATTATCGCATTTTAATCTTTTTTTTTTCTTGTCATTAAAACCAAAAAACTCGAAAAAAGATAAAACCGGTGATGCTAATACTGAATTTCCAGAGCTCAAATTATACCACTTTTAAAATGATATTATTTTTCTTATATTTATAATTGATCTCGAAACTAAAATTATTTATACTACAAAAAATTTAAAAAAAAAAAAAGCAAAAAAATAAATTAATTCTCTCACTTGTACTTGTGGGTGTGTTTGGTACACTTGTTAAATGGTTCGTGTTCCTTTGCATCGATGTCAAACTGCAAGGTTTTGTCGTATAACCTTTTTTCGCTGTTCCTCACATGAATCTTGTACAAGTGGAAACTTCTCCTCACCGGTACTTTAAAAAGTTATCTAGGTAGATCCAAATTAATTGAAAAATCAATGCAGCTTGAGATATATGATACAAAAAATAATAAAGCTAGAGAAAGGGTGATATAAGAGACCATGATCGATCGTTTCAAAACTTGTCATAACAATCATGATAAGAAGAGTCGCAGTCTCCGATATTCTCTTTGCATTACAAAGACCTTCTTTGACGAAGATTAAAATCAGATTTTTAGTAGATTTTGATAAAAATTAATGAAATGTATGTTTAAAAAGTTGTGGGTCCCATGAAATGTGTAGTTAAAATCAATTATTGACTTTAACTTAAAGATTGAGATTTGTTCTGATATCATCTATCACTATGTTTTAAGACACTATCAATTATTTTAATGCAAATATTAGGGCCTTGTTTGGCCCCAATTAATTTTTTTTCCTCATTCTTAATTTTAACCACACATTCTCCAAATAAAATAATTTTACACACCAAGCTATAAATTTTCATTATTTTTCAACTACACATTCTCTCATCAATTACTATTCCACAACTTATAAATTCTCCAAAATAGGAGCCAAACAATGACTAATTCAGAGATATAAATCTATATCCTCGAGGTTTATGTACTTTTTAGTGGTTTTATTTCTATTTGTCAAGTCGCTATTTTAGTAATGAATTAAATTTCATTATCAAAACTTTAAATGATAAATTCATTACTAAATCCCGTCTTAATTTCTTTCTTTTCGAACTAATAGTACCAAAAGGGAAAAAATGACTAATTTTATGCTACGGTTGTCACACCAATTTTATTTCGAGCGATGATATTCACAGTGAGGGCTACGCATAACGACTACAGATAGCCTTCACTATTAATATCACTATTCATTTCATTTACTAATCAATACTTATTAATGGGTGTTCTTAACCGAGATTCTGATGATTTTTAAAATATTATAATTTCTAATGAATTTCGTGAATTTGAATAGATTTTTACAAAATTAATAAGAACCTCATTAATGATGGTGAAATTTGAAAATGATCTGTTATATGTAATTTTGAGTGTAAAATTCATTCTTATATTTTAAAATCTTTCTATTGACGAAATTCATATAAATCTATGAGATATTGAGACACTTAAATTTTAATAAATTTTATGAAATTCATTAAAATCTCTAAGCCTGTGTTTGATATTGATTTAAATTAAAGTCAAATAATTAATATTAATAACATATTTTATGGTTCCTACAACTTTTTAACTACAAATTTTGATTTTTTTAATATTAAAATCTACTAAAATCTAATTTTAAGCCCGCCGGGTTAAATTTTTGATATACCTGAATTTAGAAGAATTTTTTTTTTAATTCAGTCTACTGCATTTTCGCTATAAAAACACACTTCTCACTTACTCCCTCTCCCCATTACTTGATCCACTCTCCCTTACCAGTCCTGTCCCTCTCTCTCTCTCTCTCTCTCTCTCTGCACAACAATGCCGCAATTCTTATCTGTCTCTCCTGTCTTGATGTTATAGAGAGAAACAAGAAGTATTGCTTGGCTCAAACCGAAAAGAGTGCAGATCTATACTGACCATCCCCTGTTTCAGAGAGAGAAGCAAAAATGGCTGAGGTTTCTGTGAAGAGTTTTATACCCGAGTCATTTCCTGGCTCGACAAGTGATATTGCAGGTACAATCGGGCTCCTGTGGGAACTGATTAAAGCTCCATTGGTGGTGCCTCTGCTGAGGATTTCTGTATACATATGCTTGGCCATGTCGATTATGGTGTTCATCGAGAGGCTGTACATGGGAGTCGTTATAATCCTTGTTAAACTGTTCATGAAAAAGCCCGAAAAGAGATACAAATGGGAGCCAATGCGTGAAGATGTTGAGCTTGGAAATGCAGCTTTTCCTTTGGTTCTTGTTCAGATCCCCATGTTCAATGAAAAGGAGGTCTAGTTTCTCTCCCACACATTTACACATACTGGAATGTGAGGAAAAATTGCTGAAATTTTGTTGAATTTTTGACAGGTTTATAAGATCTCCATTGGAGCAGCAAGTAATCTTTCATGGCCTGCTGACCGTTTGATTATTCAAGTACTTGATGATTCTACTGATCTTGTTATCAAGGTATACATCACAAATCCACAATTTTTTTTTAATATTTACTGTTCATTTTTCTTTTTAAAGCAAGATAATTATAAATATTTTATTAACTTTATGAAAATATTAATGATGTTGTAGGATATGATTGAGAAAGAATGCATTAGATGGGCAAATAAAGGCATTAACATTAGGTACCAAATAAGAGAAACGAGAGGAGGGTACAAGGCAGGAGCTCTTAAAGAAGGCCTCAAACGCGACTACGTCAAAGACTGCGAATACGTCGTAATTTTTGACGCAGACTTCCGACCCGAACCGGACTTTCTCCATAGAGCCATCCCTTTTCTCGTGCACAATCCCAATATTGCCCTTGTTCAATCTCGATGGAGGTTCGGTAAGTCTCACGCTCTCCGTGCTTGTCTGGATTTCATTATAATTTTCTTATAATTTAAAGTCGTAGTTGAACATTATTTTAACAACAAATCACATTACTAATCATTAATATTATAGACTCATTATTCACCTTCATTATAATCACATTATATATGGATATAATATCATAAGCACAACGTGCAAAAGTGTCGGTGGTATTGTTAATTTGTCGTTGATGCTATTGTGCGTACAAGTAAGTGTGTGGGCATATTGGTAATTTACAAAATATTTATAAAATTAAAATACATATTTTTATTTCTGCCTTTTTCTTGTAAATTGGTTCTTCTCGGAATGTTGCAAAATCATGTGTTAATTACTTAATTATAGGGTCCACCAAGGCTATTACTCCAGTCGTGGGTCTATTAAAGTGCTAATCAGCCATACATCACGGCCATAACAGATTTTTCGGTGGCGTAGGGTTCGCAATTAACACATTTTAGTTAATATTGACAAAATATGATTTGTACGTAACCTATATTTACTCGACCAACCCAATATTTTTTCGAATATATTATTTTAATTTTAGTGCGATCGCACGCTTAACTTCAAAATTAGGAGAAAAGATCGAATAATTATGCGAACCAACAACATTAATCGTAGTCAAAAGAGCCATGCTACTCAAACAGACAAAATTGACAGAAAAATGGTGACAGACATACTTGGCGGACGAATCGCAATTTGCCACGTCAGTCTGTTTCCAAATCCTGTCTTTTTTTTTTTTTTTTGAGTTGCTTTAACCTAGTCAAAATATTACCTAGTACATACCTAGTGCTTAGTCCGTTTAATTGTATTTTTTATTTTTATTTTTGAGGATGAGATAAATAAAATACCTATTCATTTATTAATTCTTGTCTTGATTTTGCAAAACCCTCCTTAATTAGCCCAATTAAGCAATAGTGAAGCAACGTTGTCAGCTTGTCATTATTAGTGTAAAGATAAAGCTACATTGTCAGAAAGATTTAACGAAAGTTCGACATAATTGTGTGTGATGTTAAATGATTGGATGAAAAAATTGACTGTATTTTAAACCGTTCACGTGATATTATATCAAACTTTATGTATTCATCTATCGTAGTGACGAATGTATCGTGAATTATAAGAGTCCCTCCCGGATTAGCCGGCGTGGAAGTGCTACATATCCCGGGTAGGCTCGTCTTTCGGTAAAACCGACAAAGAACAAATAAATTCCTTGACGTTTTGTGTCAACAAGGGTATAGTTGTAAATATTACTCACGTGCTATTATGCGCTTGCTCAGAACCGACAGTTACATTTGTGGACCCCGCCTGGCCCACTCACTCACCAGTCACCATCCACTCCTCAAACTCCAAACCCACTCCTCCCCCGGCCCAAAACTAAAAAAATTAAAATAAATCATAAATGTAAACATTTTTTACACCGACAGATTGTATATGTTTATATATATTTATATTAATTCCAGGTTGTTCTTACATGACCTGTCCAATTATTTTAATGTTGGCTCATGTGCTGTCAGAAAGGTAGCAGCTTTTGTTCTTGCTGATTATTAGGATCTTTCCTTTACTTTCACATCCACTTCCGTGCATATGCACAGTTCGTTAATTTTTTCGGATTCTACTTCTATGGATAAAAAGTTATGTTTGTCGTGAATAAATTTTTTTTTTTTACTTATCTTGAAATATAATATAATAAGTCGATACTAAGTTGTGCATTAATGGGCCCTCAGGCCATTGAGGTGAGTATCCGACCGTAAACTTCATAATCACGTAGAATTAGTCGAAGTACGCGCAAGTTGGTCTGGACATCCACGATTATAAAAAAAAAAAAAAAGTTGTGCGTCAAGGGTGCTACATTAAGGCACGACTGCTAATGAGAACTTATAAAATATTTGGTTGGTTTTTGCAGTGAATTCGAACGAGTGTTTACTGACAAGAATGCAAGAAATGTCGTTGGATTACCACTTTACAGTCGAGCAAGAAGTGGGATCATCTACTCATGCATTCTTTGGCTTCAATGGTAAGTTTAAGTACTTCGTAAGTATAGTAATTAATCGATTAATTAAATATAACTTAAAATAAAGATACTAAAGCTATGTGAATGCTTTTTGTATTCGGTTGACAGAAAGTCATGACCAACATACATTATGACAAAATTTCGTAATTTTAGGAACTGGTGGTATATGGAGAATAGCAGCAATCAATGAGGCAGGAGGATGGAAAGACAGAACAACAGTTGAGGACATGGATCTGGCAGTTAGAGCTGGTCTCAAGGGATGGAAGTTTCTCTATCTTGGGGACCTCCAGGTACTAAATGAAATTGTTTCTTTATCCATTTAGGTCACATTGGCTACATGGTATTGAACTCGACTACGACTGGACATTACAATAATCAAGATCATTTATGACGTAAACCTGCTTATCTTTTAACGTGTGAAAACTTCTAATTATTGTTTCGTTCCTTGATAGGTGAAAAGTGAGCTGCCTAGTACGTTTAAAGCCTTCCGTTTTCAGCAGCATCGATGGTCTTGTGGTCCTGCCAATTTATTCAGAAAAATGGTTATGGAAATTGCTAAGAATAAGGTTTGTTGGATAACCTTTATAATTTGTCTTTGGTTTTTCGAATCTAGGGACCTGATGTCATCGTACAAGAAACTCAAAATCTCCTTTTTTTTTTGTTTTGATTTGGCAGAAAGTGTCTCTATGGAAGAAGTTTTATGTAATATACAGCTTCTTCTTCGTAAGGAAGATCATTGCTCACATGTTCACTTTCTTCTTCTACTGTGTTGTGCTGCCATTGACAATTTTGGTACCTGAAGTAGATGTTCCGAAATGGGGAGCCATTTATATTCCGTGCATCATCACTGCTCTAAACTCGGTCGGAACTCCAAGGTCGGGTTTCTGTACCCAACGCAATGCTGAGTTTGCGTTAAAACTGCAACCATACAATTAACTAATGGAAAATTCTACTTTCTCAGGTCTTTTCATTTATTGTTTTATTGGGTCCTGTTCGAGAACGTGATGTCTTTTCACCGTACCAAGGCTACCATCATTGGTCTGCTCGAGGCTAAGAGAGTTAACGAATGGGTTGTTACTGAAAAACTCGGAGATGCTCTCAAGAACAAATCCAACGCCAAATCAGCACCAAAAAAATTCAAATTTAACTTCGGAGACAGGTAAACTATCACTCTTACTTTCACTTTTTAACACGAAACTCGTCGTTTATAGATTGAAATTAGCTCTTCAAATTAGCTATAAAAGCTTCTATAGAAAAAAAAATGTCTTCCATTTTATATTGTTCATAATCTTTGACTATTATGTTATTGTTTTCATGGTAAATGACAGTAGATTGACAATGAAATTTACGTGTAGTTCTTGAAGTGTGTTACTCATCAATCATATGTATCTAAATATGGCAACCGTATCACAAGAATGTTTCTGTGAACTAATACATGTCATAATTTTGTGCAGAATACTAATACACGAGTTGGGCTTCGCTGTATTTCTATTCATCTGTGGATGCTACGACTTCCTATATGGAAAGAACTGCTATTTCATATACCTATTTCTTCAAGTTATCACCTTCACAATCGCGGGATTTGGCTACGTGGGAACAATAGTTTCGAGTTAATTAAATTCATGTATCGGCAGAGTCGTGTATTTCTAGTCTACACAATGTATACAAGATTGCTCTAGTTTGGTTACATTTCTACAATATATCAGTCAGAAGGAGAACAAATCATTTGTCTAGCATTGATAAAGGCTTCTTAGAAAATCTCTTGCAGAATGCCCTGGAAAACAGCAGAAAGTGTGCAAAAAAGAGCTTGCTGTTTTCATATTATACAGTCAAGAAAAGATTGAAGCTGAAGATATTCTATTAAAATAACAGAGAATATGCAAATAATGTTTTGTTATCCGGTTTATAGCATTTGTAGTTGTATGACATTGCTTTATTTTGTATTTCAGAATTTGTATGATTTTTTCCCCATATTTCATTTGTAGTAGTACAGTATGTTTCTCTGGTCATATGTTTCAATGCAAACAATCGAATTAGTTGAAAATGGAGCTGTTCAGCTAGTCTACGAAAGTTCTAAACATGTTAAAATCTTCATTGAGCTCGAACACATAAGAAAAGCTAAGGGTTAAAAAAAAAACTCGAACTGAAATAATTATTAAGGATCTAGTCACTTGTAGATGTCTATTTCTACGAGCCTCTCTGGGAGACAGTGCTCAGATTATTACGTCTTTCATGCAGGTCAAAACTTACCCAATAAGGAATTTCCTATCTTAAAACCATTATAGTTACGATCGCTATTCACCATAACTTTGGTCACTGATGAGTGTGTTTCACTCGTGCAATTATACTATTTAAACTTGATGTTTGTTTATTTTTAAGAGTTTTTAGAATGTTTTGATATGTGCTTTCGTGTTTTGTTGTAGGTTGGATGAAATGGTAAAAAAAAAAGTGACTCTTGGAGTAATTAGAAATCAATGAGTGATGATGATATGAACCGAGGATGCAAGAACTTGAAAACATGCAATGAATACAAGAAACGTGGCACAAAAGGAAAAATTCAACAGAGAAAGCAGCATGTAGGCACTTCCTTACTGGTGCCTAGGTGCCACTCAAGCCTGGAGAAGATAGAATTTTAACAGAATATATAGTTAGTAGCGCAACTAGTGCCAATGTGCCACTTAGGCGCTACGCCGCAAAAATTAAGGTTAATTTAATCCCAAAAAAGCTCATTTAACCCTAACTCGAGATAGACGCTGAGGAGGTAAATACAACATTTTAGAGGATTTTGAAGGACACTTCGACAACGACAAATTTAGAGAACAAGGCAACTGAAGGAAGTGACGACGAGAAGAGAGATTGATTCAACTCCAAAATAGTTCTCTCTCTTTTTCTTTTCCATGTTTATGATTATGAACTTAAGTTTTCCTTATTTTTCAATCATGAACTAATTCATTCATCTAATATATAAGTAACACTATGTTTTGATTTTCAATATATATTTCTGTAGAGAAGTGATTCCTTGAAGATTCCTTAGCTATTGTAAAAGCTGTTGGAATAAAATCTGTTGAAGAGGAGTTGTTCTGTTGTTGGTTTGATCAACTGATTTCGGTTGGAATCTTCAACTATATGGAGCCTTGACTTGTAACTGAAATGAGGCTCCTTTATGTCTATAAATAGGAGCTTTAGGTACTGTTATATAGGGAGCTCGAATCAGAGAGATGGGGTGAATCTCTGTGAGAGAATGAAAGAGTTCTGATAAAGAGAAAATCAGAGAGAAAGTGAGATTGTGAGAAAAGAGATTTTTGAAAATCAATATGGTAGAAATCTTTCTATAGTGTTTTAGATTTCTGATTTTGTATGGTGAATCACCCGAGATGGTGATTGATTCATGTGATTGAATGTAAAGTCCTTTAGTGAATAAAAGACTGAGGGAGAAGATTTCTTCCTGTTACCAATTCTGCTGTCTATCTTCTTGCTGATTTATATCTATCATTTTTCTTTTGCATTGTTGGTGCCATTTTTCTTTTCTGTAATTCTGGATTGATCTTGAGCTGGAGGAAGCCCAAATCCTCAACAAGTGGTATCAGAGTCGGGCTTCCAATATGCAGAATCGAAAGAGGTCTGAAGGTTCTTTTTAAATTTTCTTGATAGCTGTTTGTGCACAACGCATGAAAGAAGTTTCCTGGCCAGATTCTTACTCTCACAATGTCTACATCTAAGTTTGAAATTGAAAATTTGATGGAAAGAACGACTTCAACCAATGGAGGGAAAATATGATGCCATACCTTGGCAATCTTGGATTGGATGAAGCTTTGAAGAATGAGTCAGACATGGATGCATCAAACAAAGTTGAAATTCTGAAAAAGGCATATAAGCAGGTAGAGGCTGATAAGAATAGAGGGGAAGATGAAGACTTGGAGGATGGTTTCCCTGAACTTGAAGGTCCAACTGCCTCGGTGCCATTCTAGAGGATAATGGTGGAGATGATAATGACGATGAACTAATTTCGGGGCTAGAGCTATCTGAAGAGGAGTCTTCAGATGACAGCATGCAAGGGACACAAAATGAGTTGGAGGTATTAGATAATGAGACCGTTGTTGCTGAGAAGGTATCTTCAAGACAGATGGATACTTCAGCATTGGCTTGTTCTATCTTAGGTGCTCCAGCTTCTTCTCTTGACAAGTTTTTTGGATAAAGATCTAGAATTTCCTATGACATGCTTTGCCTGCAATTGGTCCGTAAAGTCTCTTCAAGAATCAAGGTAGAGATTGTAGAGAAATGATTCCTTGAATATTCCTTAGCTATTGTAAAAGCAGTTGGAATAAATCTGTTGAAGTGGAGCTGTTCTGTTGTTGGTTTGATCAACTGGTTTAGGTTGGAATCTTCAACTATATGGAGCCTTGGCTTGTAACTAAAATGAGGCTCCTTTATATCTATAAATAGGAGCCTTAGATAGTGTTATATAGGGAACTCGAATCAGAGAGAGAGAGTGAATCTCTGTGAGAGAATGAAAGAGTTCTAATAAAGAGAGAGTCAGATTGTGAGAAAATGGATTTTCTGAAAATTAATCTGGTAGAAATATTTCTATAGTGTTTTAGATTTCTAATTTTGTATGTTGAATCACTCGAGATGGTGATTGATTTATGTGATTGAATGTAAAGTCCTTTAGTGAATAAAAGATTGAGGAAGAAGATTTCTTCCTATTATCAATTCCGCTGGTCTATCTTCTTGCTGTTTATATTTGTCATTTTTCTTCTGCATTGATGGTGCCATTTTTCTTTTCTGTAATTCTGGATTGATCTTGAGTTGGAGGGAGCCCAAATCCTCAACAATTTCTTTGAGATTTTTTTTTCTAAGTTTATTTTCTAAATTTATTTGTGTTATTTGTTCTTAATACTTTTAATTAACTGGTCATTATTTTTTTGATTTGATGTTTCAAATTCAACGCTCGAGAGATGAAATTTTGAATGTGATCATATAATGACACAACCTAAGATTTTATGGGTTTCTAAAGAAAATATATATTATTTGAAACATTTTTACAAAGAATCATAGAACTTGTGAATTCCTAGCTTTTTTTTTTTTTTAATTTATTTGGAAAAGAGATATTAAAATCGAATTTTAGGAATGATTTTCACTCGGTATTCAAGAGAGGAAGTAGAAATATATTATCGTTTTTTACTTATAAACCAGGAAAATCAATTGGAGATAAATAGAGAATTAAGAAACATAAGTAATAGTTAGATCAAATCGAAATCCTATGCTCTTCTCATATTGTTTAATCGTTAGGGCCTGCTTGAGAGTTTTTTCTCCATTGGTTTTTATCGGTTTTGGGCGGCACTGCTTATGAGGTATCGAAAAAATTAGTGCTTGCTAGTTTTTTTGGGCACCGATTTTGAATGGTTTAAAAATCACCCAAAAATGGTGTGGTGTAATTTTAGCAAGTTCTTTCAACCCATCAAATCGATGGGTTTTGACAATTTCTTATATTCTCTTCTAATTTTACCCTTTTATAAAATAAGTATTTCAAAGCAGCATATTTTTTCAAAACTAACTTGTAAATAAAATATAAATTAACTAAAAAATTATTTTTAAGCAAAAAAATTACATGATAATTGAAAAACTACTTGTAAGTAAAATATTAATTGTAAGATAATAAAAATTACATAACAATTAAAAAATTACTTATAAGTAAAAAATCACTTTTATGTAAAAAAAAAAATTGTTTATAAAAAAAATACAACTAATAATATAAAAATTCACTTACAAAATATAAAAAGTTACTTATAATTGTAAAATTTACTTATATGTAAAAAATATTAACTTCAGATTTTAAGTAAATATTTAACTTTATTTAATTTTCTATGTTAAATATTAATTTATATGTAAAAATAATTTCATATAAGTAAAATGTCACTTATGATGAAAAAAATTTCATATAAGAAACAATAAGCTAAAAGTTTTACTAATGGATATTTAATTTTATTCTCTTAAAAAAACTTTTAGAACTGATGGAGGATAAACTCTCAAATATAGGTTAGACGGTTTTAAAAATCGTTACTAAAACCACTTATAAATGTTCAAAACCGGTACTATCAAAAAGACTCATAACCGATACGTTGAAATTCCCAAGCAGGAACTTTTAATTAACTGGTCATTATTTGTTTGATTTGATGTTTCAAATTCAACGCTCGAGAGATGAAATTTTGAATGTGATCATATAATAACACAACCTAAGATTTTATGGGTTTCTAAAGAAAATATAAATTATTTGAAACATTTTTACAAAGAATCATAGAACTTGTGAATTCCTAGGTTTTTTTTTAATTGGAAAAGAGATATTAAAATCGAATTTTAGGAATGATTTTCACTCGGCATTCAAGAGAGGAAGTAGAAATATATTATCGTTTTTTACTTATAAACCAGGAAAATCAATTGGAGATAAATAGAGAATTAAGAAACATAATTAATAGTTAGATCAAATCGAAATCCTATGCTCTTCTCATATTGTTTAATCATTAGGGCCTGCTTGAGAGTTTTTCTCCACTGGTTTTTATCGATTTTGGGCGGCTTATGAGGTATCGAAAAAATTAGTGCTTGCTAGTTTTTTTGGACACCGATTTTGAATGGTTTAAAAATCACCCAAAAATGGTGTAGTGTAATTTTAGCAGGTTCTTTCAACCCATCAAATCGACGGGTTTTGACAATTTCTTATATTCTCTTCTAATTTTACCTTTTTATATAATAAGTATTTCAAAGCAGCATATTTTTTCAAAACTAACTTGTAAATAAAATATATATTAACTAAAAAATTATTTTTAAGCAAAAAAATTACATGATAATTGAAAAACTACTTATAAGTAAAATATTAATTGTAAGATAATAAAAATTACATAACAATTAAAAAATTACTTATAAGTAAAAAATCACTTTTATGTAAAAAAAAATTGTTTATAAAAAAAATACAACTAATAATATAAATTCACTTACAAAATATAAAAAGTTACTTATAATTGTAAAATTTACTTATATGTAAAAAATATTAACTTCAGATTTTAAGTAAATATTTAACTTTATTTAATTTTCTATGTTAAATATTAACTTATATGTAAAAATAATTTCATATAAGTAAAATGTCACTTATGATGAAAAAAATTTCATATAAGAAACAATAAGCTAAAAGTTTTACTAATGGATATGTAATTTTATTCTTTTAAAAAAACTTTTAGAACTGATGGAGGATAAACTCTCAAATACAGGTTGGACGGTTTTAAAAATCGCTACTAAAACCACTCAAAATCAATCTGCTTAAAATCGATACTTTGAAAAACGCTCCTAATTGGGACGTCGAAACTCCCACGCAGGCACTTAAGAATTGGCATTCCATCGTTGATCTAGTCAAACTTTCAATTTAGATTTAGTTAAAATTCATTGATCCTATGAATTCGATTGTCCACATAAAGTGAGAAATATTTTAATGATAGTACTTAGTGGAGATTTAAGTGTGTTTGACACCCATTTTAATGGGTTGAAAATTTTTGAAATAGTGATTGATAGGAGAATGTATGGTGAAAAAGTGATGGAAATTTTTAGATTTGTGTGTAATATTATTTTATTTGAAAATTGTATGCTTGAAATAAAGTAAGAGAATGAGTGTCAAATAGGGGCTTAATTATCAAATCCCGTGAGTTCGACATCGTAACTCATCAATATATTATAAAACTTCACACCGTGCGCTTTTAGTATAAATTCGACTAACAATGATTCCCTTATCATCAACCGCCAACTTTTTACCTAGCATTCAACATAAATGAAGTAAAGAAAAATATCCATATGAGATATGGTCGACCTTAAATTTTTTAAAATTTAAATGCTTTATTTATCATTAATTTTTTAAGATTTTATGGGTTTCTAAAGAAAATATAAATTATTTGAAACATTTTTACAAAGAATCATAGAACTTGTGAATTCCTAGCTTTTTTTTTTTTTTTTGGAAAAGAGATATTAAAATCGAATTTTAGGAATGATTTTCACTCGGCATTCAAGAGAGAAAGTAGAAATATATTATCGTTTTTTACTTATAAACCAGGAAAATCAATTGGAGATAAATAGAGAATTAAGAAACATAATTAATAGTTAGATCAAATCGAAATCCTATGCTCTTCTCATATTGTTTAATCATTAGGGCCTGCTTGAGAGTTTTTCTCCACTGGTTTTTATCGATTTTGGGCGGCTTATGAGGTATCGAAAAAATTAGTGCTTGCTAGTTTTTTTGGACACCGATTTTGAATGGTTTAAAAATCACCCAAAAATGGTGTAGTGTAATTTTAGCAGGTTCTTTCAACCCATCAAATCGACGGGTTTTGACAATTTCTTATATTCTCTTCTAATTTTACCCTTTTATAAAATAAGTATTTCAAAGCAGCATATTTTTTCAAAACTAACTTGTAATTAAAATATATATTAACTAAAAAATTATTTTTAAGCAAAAAAATTACATGATAATTGAAAAACTACTTGTAAGTAAAATATTAATTGTAAGATAATAAAAATTACATAACAATTAAAAAATTACTTATAAGTAAAAAATCACTTTTATGTAAAAAAAAAAACTTTATAAAAAAAATACAACTAATAATATAAAAATTCACTTACAAAATATAAAAAGTTACTTATAATTGTAAAATTTACTTATATGTAAAAAATATTAACTTCAGATTTTAAGTAAATATTTAACTTCATTTAATTTTCTATGTTAAATATTAACTTATATGTAAAAATAATTTCATATAAGTAAAATGTCACTTATGATGAAAAAAATTTCATATAAGAAACAATAAGCTAAAAGTTTTACTAATGGATATGTAATTTTATTCTTTTAAAAAAACTTTTAAAACTGATGGAGGATAAACTCTCAAATATAGGTTAAACGGTTTTAAAAATCGCTACTAAAACCACTCAAAATCAATCTGCTTAAAATCGGTACTTTGAAAAACGCTCCTAATTGGGACATCGAAACTCCCAAGCAGGCACTTAAGAATTGGCATTCCGTCGTTGATCTAGTCAAACTTTCAATTTAGATTTAGTTAAAATTCATTGATCCTATGAATTCGATTGTCCACATAAAGTGAGAAATATTTTAATGATAGTACTTAGTGGAGATTTAAGCGTGTTTGATACCCATTTTAATGGGTTGAAAATTTTTGAAATAGTGATTGATAGGAGAATGTATGGTGGAAAAGTGATGGAAATTAGATTCGTGTGTAATATTATTTTATTTGAAAATTGTATGCTTGAAATAAAGTAAGAGAATGAGTGTCAAATAGGGGCTTAATTATCAAATCCCGTGAGTTCGACATCGTAACTCATCGTTATATTATAAAACTTCACACCGTGCGCTTGCAGTATAAATTCAACTAACAACGATTCCCTTATCATCAACCGCCAACTTTTTACCTAGCATTCAACATAAACGAAGTAAAGAAAAAGATCCATATGAAATATGGTCGACCTTAAATTTATTAAAATTTAAATGCTTTATTTATCGTTAATTTTTTTGGTCCACATTTTCGTCCAACGTTGCAAATTCTATTATATAAAGTTAAATACCAACAAACTCACACAAACACATAATCCAACATCAAATCTTTACTAATTTCGTCAAAACTATTATGAAAAAGGGAATTGCAGTTTGTATACAATATCCTGTCGAGATATCGATAAAACTTCATTTGATTATTCAAACACGTGAGTTAGTTAGAAAATTGCATCGAAAACCTCTAATCATGTCCTAACTCGTTGATATCTCAACAAAGTTACAAAATCAAAACTGTCTTGTATGAATCAAGAACTGAAATCAAACTTTTCTGCATGTTTACCATATGTTTGTTTAAGACAGGACAACAAACATAATTAATGTCGCGTCTTTAGGGTCTCATCGTAACACTAATGTTTTTTGTCTTTAAACTCGAATTATTGATTTAATTATAATCTTCTTTTTCATTACGAGGGTTATTCAAAGTCAATATTTTCGCATGAGATAAGGCAATCATCAATTCACACACTCAAATGTTCTATCATAGTTACAAAGTAGTTGCATTTTTTTTTAAATATTTGATTCATAATTGGGACACTTGTACTTAAAAGTTAAAACTCATTTAATCTTTTTTTTGGTTTCTTCTCGTTTTAAGTATTAGTATTAGTCCTTTTCACTTTTGCTTGTACCAATGAAAGGGAAGTGTTAAAAAAAAAAACAAAAAAACTCATTATACGATAGGCTTACCTATAAGACATAAATCCTAGTAGTTTCGATGTTTGATATACGGTCTGTTTGGTAGAATTTTTGAAAAGTCAAAAGTTGCTTCTGACATTAAAAAATTGTTTTTGAATATGTGTGGATAATTTTCAAAAATACTTTATCAGGGTCGATCTAAATAGCTTTATCATGAAATTCTTTTACTGGAAGCAAAAGTTCTATCAAATAAGTCGATAGACAAGTGATGATTCTGTATTAAGTTAGTTGTAGCGTCTTAATTAAATAGTACATTATTTGTTGAGAATAAGAATCAGCTAATACTTGTAATTACATCTAATTTCGAAAATCATTGTGTATTTCTTGTATGAAAAGATATTTATTAAATCGTGGGTTTTTACTCAAAGGGGGGTTTTTTTTTTCTTTACGTATAATTGAAGTTAAAAAGGGGAACAATTCACACCTTGCATGTGAATTTGTGCTTAGTGGGAGTGGGGACAAATAATTGTTAGTACACAAAATTCAGTGATTGAGAACCTCTGCGAACATTGACGTCCATTTTTGTTTATTAATAAGTGTCTGTGTCGGTATTGTAGAATGCTATCGCTCTATTGAACATTGTCTAAACTAAAGGAATTCAATATAAGTGAATGATTTTTTTTTTCTTTCTTTAGGTACATACACGAGCCACGCGAGTCGAGAAGAGTGTGGTCAAAAATTTATGTACAAATTCAAAAGAAGACATAAAATTTCACGTTCCTACAAATTTGGCCAACCTTATTGTCTTCTCATAAAACTTGTCCCTCCTGTTCTTCCATTATTGTACGAAATCCAACGATGACAATGAATTCATTCCAAGGCGAAAACTAAGTGCGCTTTTTGTACATGCCCACAATGTTTTGGATGCCAACTGTTTTTTTCAGTCTTGGGGTCCTTACTTACTGCATTATCTGACAACTTGGACCACCCCATCAAATATTCTGAATTTATCGATACAAAATCAATAAAAATAAAAGAGGGTGGATCGAAAAATGTATTGGGTACTATTGACTCTGATATCTAATAAGTAACATTTCTAAAACGATTTAAAGCTCGTTTTATAATTTTTTGAGAAATGATTCTTTGAAAAATATTTTTGGCTAATTTATGGTTAAAAAGTAGAGAATAGTTATAAGAAAAATTGAAAAATTAATTTTCTAAAGTATGTAATTGAAAATGAGTGTGATAACTTCGTGATTTTCAAATAATCGAAATTAGCTTGTAGTTACGCCTTCCACGTGGATAAAAAAAAATGCTCGACACGAGTTTCAAGATGTATACATGTAACTTGTAAGGAGTGTTGAACAGTCTTGTCTAAAAGTTTAAATAATTTTTAATCGCAAAAAAATAATTTAATTGTAATCACATTATTACATTTGTCCTAATCCTAACTACATAAAAGAGGCAATTTTTTCGGCCACTTGTCGAGCTCTCACCTCCTTCCCCAAAACGACGTCGTTGCCCACTGCCATTCTTTCCATTCAAAATGCCATACCTCTTGTTTTTCCTCGTGGAGTCTCTCTTCGTGAAAACCCTAACGGAAAACCATTACCCTGGAGGTGAAGTCCTTCTCCTTTGATACCATCGGAAATGTCAAAGCCAAAGAACCATGATAAAGAAGGAATCTCGTTGAACCAGCAGCCCCTCACCTTCATCGGAAAGCGTTGCAGATGAACCTCTGGCGACTACAACGTCGAGAAGGAGTCCATCCTTCATCTCGTACTCCGCCACTGCCTCTACCGCCGACGCCTCAAAGGTATGTTCTTTTTGCCTTAAATTCCATATCTCCGTCCTGTCTCCGTCTCGCACGAAGACACCGCCCTATCTCCGTCTTACGGTAATTTCCTCAAATTTCTTGCACCATATTTGGTGTGTTGGCAGTGAAGGGGTAGGATGGGGTACGCATCAAATGCTATGGCTGCATGCAATTGAAGTTTGGTGAGTAGAGAGCCGACCTTGGGTGGAAAAGGGCAATTTTCTTTATCTTTTTACTGTTGAATCTGCAGGAATGAAACTCTCTTCTGCTGGTTTAAGTCAGCAGTCTCCCGAAGGTAAAATGTCTTTTCTTGAAGTTAATTCTAGCTTCTTGAAGGCTGCATAACTCGTTTTGGCCTTTTTTGGGTGAGGCCAAAATGTATGTAAAATTGCATATTCTTTATAAGTTAAAGATGAAATTGAGCAATAAAGACCTCTTTATACCTAATTATAAATATTAAGTGCAGAATCCCTGCTGATGGGATCTTAGTATTATACAAATTG